TGTTACAGGTAATGGGTGGTGAGCTGCCTGTGGAGAACCGTGTGCAAAAAAGCCTGTCATCTGGCTTTTAAAGAGAGAGAAGCCTCTGCAGATACCGGCCACGTATATACAGAAAATCGAAGACAGGACAGTGAGTGTGTGGCCACGAAGGTGGAGCGCCAGCAATGAAGGTAGGTATACCTACGACATTTTGCGGTCAGTGTCGTACAAAGACTGAGTTGGGAATCTTCAGGAAGAAAGAACCTTCAGCTGGGGCTTACAGTTTATTACGTGACATGGCGATTTTGCAAGAAGCTACATAGTTTCAATTTAGCGGAGTCGCCATTGTGCGAATGCGGTGAAGAAGAGACAGCGTTTCACATCAATTATTCGGTGCCCTAGATATGGAAACTACCTGCGAGATGAGCTACGAAAGATAGGCCAAAGGACGGGAACAATCCAAAGTATTAGAGAGCGATTGAAACGAAAAGAAACTACACATTGCTGATGCTCGAATATGTAGCTGACATTATGAAGACTGAAAATTTGGCCTTTCAAAAACGAACACATATGACAATTCAGAGGTCATCTGCACGAGATAATGTACCTGAACCTACATGAATTATGTTTTTTTATTGTGTAGTTTACCTAACCATCCTTAGTCGAGCTATCAGGAAATAAAGTACCTACGCAAAAGCCCCAAACAGCCAAGGTGCGATACAATGCGAAAGACCTGGTTAGGGAGGTACCAAGTTGTACCAATCCTAAGGTGGGGGCTTGAATGCTTTAAGCCAGGGCTTCCCAAACTTTTAGCCAGTGGACCCCTTTCACAGAACAAAATTCAGGGCGGATCCTTCGCATTGAAGTATCTAAAATTAGATACTTATGGTATATGTAGTAAATTAAAGTTTTATAAATCAGCATTAGCCAGTCCATTCCTAATTTTATGATGGTCAGTTCATTGTGCAAACTAACAGATTGACATACTTATCTTTATTTACATTATTTGGAATACAAAAATCAAATTGGAAAGAACAGAATGAATAGGTATGTAAAATTTGAGCCAATTTCAAAAGTAGTAATTTGAACATTAATGATGAATGATTAAAGGGAAGAGTGAGGTTGTTTTAGAGTCCAGCATCTAGACTACTTAGGTGTTATTTAGTTTTGGTGGCTGTTTATAAAGAAAATCCAGATTCAGATAAGTTGGGAAAAATGGAAGAAGTGCACGTTTGCTTTTTCAACTAGCGACTGCAATTTTTTGTTTTCCAGGCGGAGTATAAAATAGGGGTGACTATCGGACTCGAAAATAAATATCATTGATGTCTTTCAAATGGACGTATTCCCTTGAAGATAGATTTGCCTTTGTCGAAATTGTAAATAGTTTGACCACCCATTCATGGTCTTGCAGCATTGTATCTCCACCTGTTGAGGAGTAGTGCTCATAGGACATCTCCCAACTTCGAAAGTGTTCACATATTTCCTCAATCAACGTGCCATTCGCGAGCTCCAGTTTGTTTTATTTAAAAAACTATTTAACAAGGAAAGGTCTCTTCCTTCCGAACAGATTCAACCCAAAACTAGAATTTCTTTTGGAGGCGTGAAGTTTGTGTTATCATCGAAAGGTGATAGCCTTCCCTTGCAAAGAAAGACTCATCTCACTCATTTTAATGAAAATATCTTATAAATACGACAGTATACGTTGCCATTTCTCATCATTGAAAACGTCGGCAAATTTGAAATTGTGGTCCATCAACATAGATAAGTCTTCAGAACGTAATTCCTGACCGGGAAAGTGCTTTCGGAAAAGACAGCCACCTTACTTCTGTATGGACAGGAAGAAAATGATGAAAGCTTCCCATATCGTCACATATTATTGTGAAAAGTCTTACCTTCAATGACCGTGATATAATTTGAACAGACTCATCCAAAACTTTGTTAAAGGAGGCTGGCATTTGTTTCATAGCTAAAGCATATCTGTGGAGAACACAATGACTACTTGTGCAAAATAAAAACATTAGTTTTCAGTACTCATTTTATTAGTAGTTTAATTTTTTTTATTCATTCTCCGTTTATTTCTGCAATTATTACTTTTTCTCGAAGTTCTGTTCTAAACTATGTAGGTTTGATACCTGCTGAGCTAAAAATTCATAAACAACCAGTTTGTCATTCAGTCAGTCATTTTTTCAAAGTCCAAAAAACGAACATATATGTTTATTTTTCATAATAACTAGGTACAAAGGTTAAATTTAAAACGTAAACACAACATTAATAGTTTGTTTACCTTTATAATGTCCCTAACCCTTTTGCAATTTTTAGATTAAAAATAAGAAAAACAGTTGCTTTTTGTCGTTGTTTTTTTTAAAGATCTTCTTTCTTGAAACAATAAATTTAACTAAAAAATTAATTAATCCATATATGTTTAGCAGTCAAAATTGACCATAATAATTAGTTCATTAAATATTCTCTTTATCTTGATTGAGATGAAAAAATCAGTGTCACGAGCGGGATTCGAACCCACTACCTTAGGCTCAATACGCCACTGCACTAACCAGGGCCACGGTAGCTCAAGTGGTTAGAGCAGCGGCGTATTGAGCCGAAGGTCGTGGGGTCGAATCCCGTTCGTGACACTAACTTCATAACGTGACACTAACGTCATCTTAATCAAGACCTTAGACAGAAAAGATAATTAATTTAAATTGATTATTAAGTTTTTTCTTTCCTTCGAATAGTTTTTTAAATTGTTAAGTTGTTGTTGTTGTTGTTAAGTTAACGATGCTCGGCAACATGCGGCGTGTGTTTCTGAATACTTGAACACCACAGCTATCCAAACCCTTTAGTAGCTAGTAAGAAATCGAGGGACCTTAACCTACACATTTTGGGACAATCTCAAAAGAAAAGTTTGGCAAAAGGTTCGATCCTCTACTACCCTCTAAGTTCTAAAAGCGGTTGTTTTGGAAGATTTGGACAACATACACCACAATTCTCGACAAAAACGCTTTATGGATATGCCATAAAAATTTGAAACAATCCTATCTTTTACAAAATGGTGTTCAAAAATTAAAATTTGAAATTTTTTGTTTTTATTTTTTAAAATAATTTTTCACTCATGCACAGTTAAAAAATAATAATTCTGAAAAAGGAAAATTTGAAATATGATTTTTTGTTTAATAATTTTTCATTCATGTACAGTTAAAAAAATTGTAATGCCAATTTGATTTTCGTAAAACCAGATGTTCTCTGGCAAATACATGTTTGTTTCTACAAGGGTATATTAACAAATAACATTATAAAACTGTTTGAACTGGGCCTTACTTTCTAGATCTAATACATATATAATTCTTTATACAGTCTTCTTTTTCGAGTAAAGAAGGAATTTGTTATGCAAATATTGCTTTCTTTAATAAAACTCAATTTTCTTAAGGAATGCCAATTTTCACATAATTATTTAGTCAATTATTTTAAATTTGCAAAACGCAGACCTGAGAAATCGACGTTATCTTAGCGCGGCTTATTAAGTCCCTGCCAATTAACGAATTTAACATTCGAGTATACAGATGGCTTATGTACAAGTTTGTTTTAATGAATAAAAACGTTTCTTAGTGATACATGTTGTATATCTTTTATCTTTCACTCGTTATGTGAAACATATATAGCATAGGTCTATGCAGATGGCGGATACAACTGGAATAGGCCCTCATTTCTATGTCCCAACAGCGTTCCATCTGTTTTGAATACTGAGCAGTGATATTATGCAAAACAAAAAACTATTCAATATAAAATTCTAATCGAATATGTAAACTGGATGGATTTGTTGTAAGTTATTCCATTTTAATGTCAATGATGAAATGTAGTGTGTTTGTAAAACGTCAGAGGGAATTTTTACTCGAATAAAAAATTGGTACTTAATGAAATGCTATGATTAGGGCACTTTTAAGATTTGATACAGATATCAGTTAGGTGACAGCAGAAGGGAAAAAAATTAGAAACGTTTTATACACCGTTACATTTTGTTATAAATTTACAAGATATTGAGCTAAGAAATATTATAAAATGTTATATTATTTCTGCCAACTCTATTTCTTAGATCTTATTAACTATGGATTTGTTTGTTTTCTTATAAGTCTAAAGTAATAAAACGATTTATATAACAAAAGTAATCTAATAGGTTTTATTTAGAGTATTAAATTTTTAATTAAAGGGAACTAATTAACAATTCCTTAATTTAAAGATAGGTCACATGGAAAAGAACGTTTTTAAGGTGTGGTCATTTCTATGACGTCCTTAGTCACCAATTTGATGAAATGGGGTGATCAAAAATTATTTTTTGATATTTCTTGATCGCAACCGAGAGTATTATTGTCGTTGACCAGAAAACGACGACGAGATTCGATAGTTGGAAAGCATATGTTTCGACACGTGTCAAGAAAAGAATAAATTTTAAATCTTTAACCTTTGCTTATTTTCGTAGGCAAACTGAACATTAAGCTTATCCATATTGGTTTGATTTATTTTCAGTTGAGTAGTAATACAATAAGCAAGAGTTGAGAGTTACCTGAATGAGGTTTTTTGATTTTCAGCTCGGTATTAATCCAGCACCTGACTACTACCATTCCCGGACCCAGATACGTCGTGTTCCGACGGTTTTACAACCAGAGCGGATGCGGGTACTTAATCTACCATTGGAAAACCTTCAAAGGCAAATGGTCCGGTTGGGGCGGAGGGGCAATTTCCGAATGTGGCATTTACAGCTCGTGGTATATTTCTTTTCTGCCAAGCATGAAACTCGAAACAACAAGAATCCGCCAAGCAGGTCGTTTTCAAAAATTAAAAAAACTGCCGAAAGTGTACAGTGAGGTTAAACCATGCTTGAATTGTCGGTCAATTGTTTTTTGTACAATGTTGCCAGGCGACGTTGGCCGTTTTCTGTGTTCGCTAGACCTTTCTGATGTGCGATTGACAGAATAGGTCCGTGCTAGATTATAATGAAATGTTACATAAATTGACATGTTTATGCTTACAGAGGAGCCACCTGTTCGACTTAGTCCATCAAGATGGTGGGTGAGACTGTTGGTCGGTCCGTTTCGCTATTGATCGCTGTTCTCATTCATAACTGGGGGCTGCAGAGGTCGGGGCATGCGCCGCCTCCTTTAAATTACGTCATTCAATAACCACCCCCGCTCCGTAGAGGATCAGCCGGCTGATACACCTACCCCGATGAAGGTTTCATTGGTTCGCGACAGGCAACCCTTGCTCTTCCTTATAAAGGTTCGTCACGGACCCAGTGGGCAACGCCTAGACACTGTCTGATAAAATTGCATCCTCTTCTTACATTGTTTTACATTCGTTAATATTTTCTTAATTAGTATTGTGTGTACTTGTAAATTTAAAGAAGCACAATGTTGAAGACCGTGAGTAAACATATTCTAAATTTTTGCGAAATTGATTTCTTACTCTGTCACTCAATTTTATTTGAAAACATTAATACTTTTACTATATTGAATCATTTTATCAACAAAACGCCGCCTTTTTATGCTCATTTATGCAAAATCTTACTAAATTATCTTCTTTTTAGACCGTCAACGGAAAATGAAACATTAAAAGAAAATTTACAGACCTTATAGGTATCTTTTTCCGTCCGCCTGTACTAAACATCGAAGCTCAAATGGACGCTTTTGGTATTTAAAAAACAAAACCAAAAAGCACAGCCAATTTTGATACAACAGAAACACCATAAACGTGTGACAATTTTAAGTTCATCAAAGAAAAGAAGAAAATTGAATTTCCGGAACCAATCCTAATATATCATAGCAGCCTGTTCTGCGCACCAAATTATCAGATTTTTTTGAAATTTTGAATTGATGATATGATTAATAAAAAGAAAGGTTTGTTTCAATTTCCATAACCGACAGTACTTGTGTTCAAGGGCGGATCCAGGTTGGTTATCGTATTAATAATAAATATAGGATCAATGGAATAGCCACGATGTATTTTTTACACCCTGTTGGCTTAAAATTTACGTTAGGAATTTAATAAAATCGCTGAATCGCTCTTTTCCGTTATTATGATGTCCGGTTGAACGGAAGGCAATTTCCGGATGTTTTCCACCCAGCGTCATTTAAAAAAAAAATTAATTGATTGAATTAACATTATCCGGTTTGACAGTTGTTTTTGGCCGAAATTGGCTATTTTGCATCCGGGCAGCTTAAAAGAATAAATGTATTTTTGGCAATTCGACAAGGGAGAAAATTTCAATAAACATTTTCCAATATAATTACAAATATTGGACAAAAACTGATTGCAAATAGATTGGAGATTTTGCGTGCATGGAAAACAAGGGCGGATCCAGGTTGGTCATCAGGGGGTACACAATTTTGATTTTTTTAACTCACAGAAGATCTAAAAACGTGTCAATGGAAAGAAAACTTTACACATCGTTTTTCGGCCCAACGCAATATTTTCTCCTCCTTCAAAGGGAAAAACTGAAAAAAAAAATAACGACTAAAAAGTTTCAATACTTTAATTTAAAAAAGGAACATATTTTTCATATATTTCCAAAATGTTTTTCCATCATAGTCTGCGATGTAAATGTTTTTAGTCACCAACATAAACGAATATAAAAAAATAATCACCAACTTAGAGGTTATCACATGGAAAGATCGAATAAGAAGATTAGGGGCAGAAATCAGAAAAGCTCCAGAAGGACATGTTTAATCACGAAAAAATCATAGTCTGCAATGTAATTTTTTAGCACAAAATATAAACGAATAAAAAAAATCATCAGGGCAGTAAGTAGTGAGAGGTAGACTTCTTTCTTTTGCGGAATCAATCCAGCGGTACTAAAAATTTGCTACTTTAAAAATTAAATAAAAGAATAATTTGAAAAAAAGGGTATATATTATTATTTATTTTCTACAAATTGCAATAGGATAAAAAATTAATCAATTGTTTTTGTTTCTTATTAACTACTGGCGTTAAATTAAATTAGATTCGGGCCATTTTTCCTAGACCACTGAAAATAATGAATATAATATGATGGTTTACTAGTTAACTACCTAATTTGAAATTTTATTTAAGCTATTTAATTAATTAATTACTCGCGCTACTTCTCTATTAATTTTGGATAACAATGAGAAATTTACGGAAAAAGACGTGCGATGGCCACGCCATATTTATTCATAATATACACAGTTTTAAGGACTTTTACTTTTTACCGGAATTTCTCTGTATTTTATTGTAATTTAAAGCAAATCTTTGCAATATTTGTAACAAAAAATTAAGAAACGCCAACGGTTTCATTTTATTATAAAAAAGAAATTAATTTGATCTTTTAAACGAAAGAAATTAGGTTTGAAAGTACCGTATTTGAGAAAAAAATCCCGATATTGTCATTTATAATAAGCAGTAATTTATACTGCTTGTATTTCAGCCAAACCGAGCTTAAAAGTTACAGGAAGAATCCAGGTAGGAGGGAGTGAAGTTAAATAAATCGAGCTGGTTGTTGTGCAGGAGAAAACGCAAAAAATGGCAAAAATTTTGATCGACTTTTTTACTTTTATCGCCTATAACTCTGCGACCCCCAGTCGATTTGGCTAAAAAAACAATCCCAATAGTCCTTATAGGATTCTTTACCACCCTGCCCAATTTCGATTAAAAATGGCCGCTTGAGAGCGCTAGTTTTTTGAAAAAAATCTACCTAAAATTCAACATCAACTTACAAGTTTCTTGATATCACATCGAGTGTTCGAACTGGGGGAAAACAAAGCCAAAACCTGACCTGTTAAAAGGAAACTGATTTAAATTAGGGAAGGAATATTAGTCGTAAGAGATCAAGGTTTTATAATTCTGAAATATAAGCCTCTTCGCTTAATTAAGGATAAAATAAGAGAGATTACATATAACATATAACATCTTCACTTGGCTCCAGAGGGAGGGGTTAATTCACCTTTTACACCCCCCTTGGCTTGGATCTGCCACGGCATGTGATCCACATGTACAGGGAGTACATTTTAGATGGCCCGGCTGAATTTCTCTTGAATCAATGTCGCTATTTAAAAAAAAATTACGTTAAAATCGTTAAAAAATTACAAAGTTATAGCAAAAAGTTTGAAAACCCACATTCCGTTTGTTTCGTTGCTAATTCCAATAATTTGCTTTCTCACTAAAGTAAACCTTAATTGCCTTTATTGTTTACAATCTGTTATTGTTTGTCAAACTATCATTATGAAAGCAAATTTTAATTCCTGGAAATAAATACATTTTACAGTAGTACCTACTCCCTACATTCAGTATTCCATTCAAAATTAACGAAAGAGCACATTTTTTCGATCAAAAGCGAGTTGATATGTACGACTGCTTTACTGATAGTGATGCAGTCGAGTTGTACTCCCAGAAATTTCCTGATCGCAACAGAGTAAACTAGAAATGTTTATTCCTGTTGCTAGCAATATGAGGGGATACGCATTAGGTGCTGTTTCATCACCAAGAAACCAGCAGCGTAATTTCGACGAGGAGCTGATTATTTTACTGTATGTTCGCAAAAATCCGAATTCCTCTCTCCGAAATTTTGAAAAGGTTTTAGGTTTTACAGAAAATAAAATTAGAAATGTACTCCAGACTTACAATTTTAAGCCGTATCGATTTCATCTTGTCCAGGGACTTCAGACCTCTGGTTATGACAGGTGACTAAATTTCCTTGCACAAATGTTGTAAAGACGCAAAGATTTGCTCTTTTTAACCACACTTCATCATTGGTAAGAGAGATGGAGTCACGGGAGATAAATTGACACGCATTTTCTATCTGACTATCTATGCACGACGCGCAATACCACCAGTATCAATAAAGCTGTACGTATAAACTCCCTTTTGATCGGAAAAAGTGTGTTCTTCGGTTCATTTTGAATGGAATACTGAATGTAACGGATAGGTACTATAGTAAAATTTATTTGCTTCCAGGAATTAAGATTTGTTCTCATATTGCGAGTTTGACAAACAATGATACAATGTAAACAATGAAGACAATTAATGTTTGCTTTAGTGAAAAAGGACATTATTGGAATTAACGTTGAAACAAATGAAATGCTTTTTTTAAAACTTTTTGCTATAACTTTGTCACTTTTTGACGAATTTAAAATCCGATTGTACCATTGTTTTCAGCAAAAAAAAAATTGAAACTAGAATAAATAATATTAAACAATTTTTTTTTAATAACGACATTGTTCAAGAGAAGCCTGGCCATCTAAAAAGGACACTGTATAGTGAAAAAAATTTCACTGCAGACACCCGAATTCGCCTGACCTTGCTTCTTCAGGCTACCATTTTATGGAAACAATAGATAAATTTCTTATTAAAAAAAAAGTTTCATAAATTGGAAACTAATAAACGAGAGGTGATTGCATGTTTATAAATTTACAAACGATTTTCGTGACAATCGCATTAATTCCTACTTTCAATTCTTAATCCTTGGATTGGCAGTTCATCTAGTTTTGTTATCTCTTAATATAATAATATATATTTTATATTATGATAATATATATTAATATATTATATATTATTATTATATGTATAATAATATATATTATGTATTTAAGGTATTCGTTGCGGTAAAAAAGTCAGTGTCACAAGCGGGATTCGAACCCACGAAAAACCCACTGAAGTCACGATAGCTCAAGTGGTAGAGCAGCGGCATATTTAGCCGAAGGTCGTGGGTTCGAATCCCGCTGGTGACACTGAATTTTTTATCTCAACAAATACCTTAAATACATATTAATTAATCGAAAGATATTATTTGGTCAAGCGGACCACGAAAACTAGTGAATTTAATATATATTATTACTATATTATAATTTATATATAATTAATATAATTTAATATAATTCATAAATAATTAATAATTATTAATGATTTATTAATAATTCATAAATAATTATGATATTATACATTAACTAAACACCATACATTGTAATTTGTATATAATAAGTAAATCTTACCATTGCTGAATATTTCATGTCTGATTAAGAAAGTAATTTTTGAAGTAATTTTGCTGCAAAACCAATTTATTTAATAATATCATTGTTACTATTTCACGATGTATAATATACTTAAGTTTAGACCGAAGTATG